CCCAGGGCAGTGCTACTGACGAAAGTTGTCTTTAGGCCATTCCCAAAGGGGGGATTAGCATGTTCTTATGCTAAGTAGAATTGTAAATGGGCTGATTTATCAATGCCATGCGCATACTGTGCCGGAAAAACCTAGGGGGTACTGCTGCTTTTTATTTCTTCATCCTTACTATTGTCATTTTCCCCCTACGGTACTTCTTTTGTATGTTTGTCACTGTCTTGTGAACTATTTCCATCCGGGTGCCTTGATAGTTGAAGTAGACTTTGTACTGTTGAGGCTAGAGAGGTGAGCAGAGTAAGCCTGATTCCCCGTTTGGACTCTGTTGACGCACACCCCTTGGCGCTCATATATGACCTTATGCAGTTGCGAGCGTCGTAAAACCTCACTAAAGCTAAAAATCAATGTTCACTTCCACGGAGTCTTCTTCTGAAGAAAAACTTGAAATTATATAGGATTGACGCCCCTATCAACACTGTTAGGTTATCTAAGAGGCAGTACATCCGGTTTAACGTCCTTCTCCGTATAAGGACCGAGCCAAGTGGGAATTTCGTGTGAAGCGCCTATCCCAAGGACACAACGTCGGACCGAGCTGAGGCTCGAACCCCAAAACCAGCAATCTCCCGATTACGAGTCCGGTAGCCTAACCAGTATTTTCAATTCAAAGGTGAATTCAGTCTTGTTGTATGGATGTGAGACATGGAACGCACCTCAAACTTGCATAAAGAAAAGTTACTGAGGACCAGACGGACAGACATGGTCACAAACGAGGAAGTGTTAAGGGTAACAAGACGGATCACAGTCAGAGATGAGGTAGATAGAAGGCGGTGGCGATGGATTGGACATTACTCTCATGTAGCTACATAACAGAGAAAGTGTTGGTGGATTGGAATCCACGGGGTAAAAGATCAAGAGGAAGACCGCGTGGAACCTGGAGAAGAATCACATAAATTGATGTACAGAAAAATGGAAAGACATGGAATAACATCAAGAGGCTACCCCAAGATAGAGAAAAGTGGAAAGTGTTTATCCGTGGTCTATACCCTGGTGCAGGGTGAGAAAGGCAATGATGATGATGATGAGGAGCGGTACAAGCAGAATTGGAAAAGGTGGGGAAATCATGGAAACAGCTAGAAAAGGATGCTCAGGGTGGGATTGCTGGAGAAATATTGTTGATGGCCTATGCTCCACAGGGAGTTAAAAAGGGCAAAAGAGAGAGAGAGAGAGAGAGAGA